AAAAAATAAATTTTGCCCAAAGTATTTGGGCAATTTCGGCTACTAATAGAAGCAGTTTCGGCCAGAAACCTTAGTTAAAACATTATATGAGTAGCACAGTAAATTATTAATCTTGATAAACATTGTCAAAAATTGTAAAAATATCATTTTTTGCTCAAATAACCTCTGGGGTTCTAGAGGTTTGATGTGGAGGCGATGAAGGTGGGGAAGGTGTAGATTGGCAAGCTGTTGCCATTCTTGTAATTTTTGTGTTAAGCATCAACAATGTGTGCTATATTAATGCAAATATTTGTTAGTACTTGGCAAAAATAAGGATAATATCAACAGTATAAAAAACACATACACACCCTAAATCCAAGGAGATTCTTAATGAATGGTCCCAATCAGGGTTGGCAAATGTGCAGCCCATTGATGGTCTATTGGTGGTCCATTGGGTCCATTAGTGTAACACTTTGACCATAGTATTTTATTAATTGCAATGGACCAGTCCAAAATCCATCTGTTCTCAATGGACCAGTCAATTTGCCAACCCTGGTCCCAATAATCTTCCATTGCCGACATGGTCTTTGGTACAATTAATGTAGCAACTTCTGATAAAAAATAAAAATTAACATCATAATTATATGATAGACAATATATTGTCCACTTTTGACCTATTAATTTTGTTGAGACAAGGGTGAATATAAATAAATCCATTTATATGAATTAATAAAAACCATGAAACATTCATCATACCAGTTGCTTGGATTCCCATGATGAAGATTTTGGCTAAATCTTTCTTTTTAAAATGAAGCTCATTGTAGAAATTGTCTAACATATCCTTCAACTCTATTTTTAATGCTGTATGATCCTCACAAAACTTCAAATCATCATTGTCTATTTCAGTGATGCCAACTTCTACGGTTACCAATTCGATGCCATAATTGTGTAACTCAATAACAACATCCAATTTGGTAGACTCATTTCCAAACTTAACATATTCTGCATGTATTTTACGTCTTTCCCTATTTTGCACTGCTTTAGATATTTTTTCAATCCTAGGTATTTTGGAAAATTCAACATTTAACTGAAGAAAAAGAAACAAGAATATCAAAGCACAACAAAGGTGGCATACCAATATGTTTGGAAATGACCACTGTCATATTCCTCCAAAAGATCGGTTAATATAGGAGACATAATTCTTAATATATAGTCTCTCTCTTGTGTTGGATGAGATAATATATTTACTTCACGTCTGCAACACTTATGACTGTGCAAAGAAATAACAGAAGTTAATATGCTTAATAAAGCAAGATAAATATCTTAAGTAACTTACAAAAAAGAAATAATTTCAGCTGATAAATTGCCATCTTCAGATCCGATTCTTGATAGTCTATCTCAGGGTTGGCAAATGTGCAGTCCATTGATGGTCTATTGGTGGTCCCATTGGGTCCATTAGTGTAACACTTTGACCATAGTATTTTATTAATGGCAATGGACCGGTCCAAAATCCATCTGTTCTCAATGGACCAGTCAATTTGCCAACCCTGGTCTATCTTCTAATTGTTCCAAATCATTTAAATTTCTCTATAATATAAGCATTATAAATTAGCATTTTTTTCATATCATTACAATATGTGCAATAATAAATATAACAAATACAAGGATTATTACCAGGCTGGCTTTATTGATTAAACAAATGACATTCTTATCAACTTGATCTTTTAATAATTTTTGCTGACATGTTTTGAACAATTTTGCTTTATCCTCAATCTTCAGAATTTGTGACCACTCAACACTTGACCAATTCGTTAAGTCAATTATTCTTGATTCTATTGCTATGTCATTTACAATAAATACTATTAGTATGTTATCAACTAGATTAATAATTGCACATATCATACATGGAAAAATACTTACCGAACTTTTATATTTTTTTCATTCATATGATCCATGACCAATTTCCAGATTTCTTCCAGTTCCTTAGATGGTAAAAGCCTTTTAATCTGTAAACAATGTCATTAATAGTTGCTTAGAGGATCAAAAGACTGCACTCAATGAAATCAAACAACATTACCATTTCATTTGCTCTTTTTTCTAGTTCTATTTCAGGAGCAACAGTTGTGGTGCTGTATGGGTTTGTCTACAAATTAATACATAATATGACATGAAACATTTGAGAGGAATTCGTGAACTAATTATTATCTAAGGTTGTATTCTGAACTACCTCAACTGAGTCAGTAGGCTCTCTTTCAGTTATTTCATTTTCTTTTCTTCTTTTTTGTTGTTTCGCAACATCTTTATAAAAAAAAGAAGTTTGTGATTTGATTGGTGTGTACACATTAATTATTTATCTTATTGGTTTTTTTTTGGGAGGACAGATGCATATATATTGAATTTTTTTTTTTTTTTTTTGGAAAAACAATTTATTTTTTGACAGAGTCCAAGGTGACAAAACATGAGTGTTGTTATTTGGTTTGGTTTGGGTCTCCTAAAGAAAACGTGTTAACAACTAACCAGAGGTACTATTTTTTACTTGTATTGATATTTTTATTTTAGTTTATAAATATTTTAATTGGAATCAAAACATGGAACAGATCTTGCTGGGTAATTACAAGATTTTCATTGATAATATTTTGCTTTGCATAATCAATAATATTACTAATATTATATTATTAATCACAAATGTCAAGGCAACATTGACTGTTGAAAAGAAACATTTCAAATATGCAACATTTGATTATCGGAAATTTTATAGATGTTGAAGCACACATGCTACCTTGAACACATTTACAGTCATTCTCACATGTTCCTCATGTACAAAAGGCTAATCTGACTGCAAGGCCCCTGATGATATGATGCAACAGAATTCCAGGGGGGTGTAATACCCTGGAGTTTACCAAAACTGCATCATTGTCAAGGATATTTTCACTAATCTTCCCTTACAGCACCAGACCAGAGAAGGCTGCCGGCATGCTAGCTGAAAAGTTGCCTGCAACGATCTTACCTCTAGGGTAAGGGCGGCTCTGTGACCAAGTTGCAACCTGGAGGAATATCAAGAGAATCTGCAGCTTGTTCAAGCACAGGAGGTCACAATTCAGAGCAGGGTTGGTAGCCCTGAAATTGTATTTGGACTCTGATGTTAAGAGGAAGCTGTAAAATAAAACAGTTTAAATTTTGTTTGGTATGTTTAAGGCTATACATGCAACCCAAAGTATTTTGACACTGTCATAAAGGGTGTTACACATGTAGTAAAGGGGTGTTACACTTATGTTTTTAATAGTG